CTCTGACGTTCTTCCCCTGCTCTGTTTTCCAACTGCCATGAACTGAGCATCTTTCTTCTGCGAGAGCATTCTGACATGATCTTTCTGCCTTGGAGCCAACTGACTGTCAACAGAATCTCATAACGTGAGCCAAATGAGACCTCTATTCCTTTAAATTGTGGTTGTTGGGCATTGTGTCCAGCAATAGAAGCAGACTAACAGGGAAAACTGATAGCAGATAAATGGTCATAAGTGTACCTCATGGTGTGGTTTAGAAGCTTGTGCAACTAGTTTGCTAGAGGAGCTTGGAAAGGCCCAGAGATGTGGGCTACAAGAACAGAGCGCTGTAAGGCAGAGCTTGATGGATGATTCTGCTTTGAACTCAGAGGAACCAGAATGCTGATAGGAATGCAGAAGTAAAGGCCAGTTCCAGGAGACCTCAATTAGGAAGAAGGATTCCATTGGTACATGATCAAGACCATGTGTGTGACATTCTGGAAGAAAATATCTCTGCATTTTTGTCCATCTCCTGAGACTTTGCAGGAGAATAACATTAGGGGAAGTGGACTAGTTAATGTGATGGAGGAAATTCCATTCAGCCTGTGACATGGGTACTGCTGGCAGCTTTTCACTAGATTTGTAGTGAGAATTGGGGGCAGAAGTCAGAGCAGAAGAATTTGAAAAGCTTAAATTTTGGTCCAGATGGAACTACATGTAAAGTTGGAGCCAAAAGAGATGTGCTTCCTAAAGAGATTAGTGGCACGGAAAAGAAACCAAGTATTTTGTTCAGGGACAGAAAAAAAGATGCCTTGTGGAAATCTCAGAAATCAAAACTTACCCACCACAGGCTCAAGGGGGAAAAGTATCAGCCTTTCATTTCAGAACAGAATCTTAGGGCCCCTGTTTCAGAAGAACTCATGGGAAACTGGTTCCCCAGGATTCATTTCACTGCACTCAGCCATCCAAGCACTCAAAAACATCCACAGCCATGGTCCAAGAGATCCTGGCCACTGCTGACAGCAGACCTGGGTGCCTTCATGTGATGCTCATTTCACCAGCATCCAGAACTCAAGAGTTGGGGAGACAAGGAGTTTTCTATCCAGATTTCAAAAGAAGGCCTGGAAAGCCAGGAGAAGAGCCCCTGAAAGGGCAATGTCTAGAGCTGTGGGAATACAGCCAAAGATACAGTAGAGGCCAGGAAGTCAGAGATGCCAGGAGCGTGGGATGTCTGCTGAGGAAAGATATAGTTGTGAGTAGAGGCAGGGAGACCATGTGTGCCGCACAGGCAAAGGTCTATGTGTGGGGCAACCCAACCCCTAAAGAACTCATACTTTACCACCCGGTGTCCCAGACACCAGATACAGAGCTACATGACTTGATGTTTTCTTTTAATTCATTAAGTTTATAGGAATATTTTAGGTATACAATATGATGACATTCATCATTGGAAATTTGTGCCTTTTATTTGTTTTTTCCTATTCCCCTACCCTCCCTTCCACTCCTCCACCCATCCCTATTTACAAAGAACTTGTTTCCGTTTTTTCTTTTACTCATATTTATTCCTTTCCCTTCCTTTACCTCTTGTACTTCCCCTTCCTCTTTGAGCCTTATCTTCCTATTTCACATTATCTATTAGACATTTTGATCCTTACTTACACTTTTAGGTCCTCAAACCAGAGATACTATTTGTTATTTACACATGTGTGTCTTATTTATTTCACTTAAGAGTATGGACTTGATGTTTGCCTGCTAGGTTTGTATTTTGTTTTGGTCCAATTCTTTTCTATCTCCTATTACTCTCTTTTGGAATGGGAATGTTTACACTGTGCCACTGTATTTTGGGATTTTGTAATTTCTTTCTTTCTTTTTTTTAAACACAGATTCACAGATAAAGAGTTTGCTTTGAGTCCTATGTACTTTCAAAAAATGGTGTAAATGTTGAGACTTTGGGAAGAGACTGTTACATTTCCAGTTGCATGCACAATACTTGTATTAGGCGGAATTCTGACTTGGTGTTGCCTTTTATTTGGACATAAGATGTTTAAGAAGTTTTGGGTGTCAAGTTGACAGCTAGGGTGGAGTGTCATCCTGATTGGCTTTGGTATCCACCATAGAGACTTGTAGAGCACACTTCAGTGTGTGTCTGGATGTGTCAGGGAGGTGTGGCCTTGGGAACTGTAACTGCTCCTTTGCCCTTGTTCCCCTGCTTTCTTCTCATCTGTCATAAACTAAGCATCTCTGATGCACCATGCCCTTCTGCAATGGTATTTCTGCCTTGAAACCAGCTGATCATGGACTGAATTTCTGTAAAACATGGGACAATCAAAGTTCTCCTTTTTTATGTTGAGGGCATCAGGTATTGTCCCCAGCAGTTGGAAAGGTGACTAATAGAAGCAGACATCATAACACCAGCATACTAAAATACTGTTAGAAAAAACTACCACCATCAGCCTCACTTGACATCCAATAAGGTGGCTATAATCAAAATGACACACAGTAATGATGGCAATTATGTGGAAAAGTTGGAACATTAATATGTTTGTGACTAGAATGTTAAATGGTTTTAAAACTTTGGAAAACATTTTAGAAGTTCCTCAAAAAGCTGAACACAAAGCTGTCATATGACCCAGCAATTCTACCTTTATGTATATTTCCAATAAAAATGAATACAACTATACAACTATGAAGATATTTCTACAATGTACCGTGCGTAATTATATATAATAGCTTAAAACATGAAAAAAATTCCAAATATCCATCAACTGCAGGATAAATAACAAAATTTGGTATATGCATATAATATTATTCACACATTAAAAATTAATCTTGTTAAATTAGTATACAACTCAAAAACATTATGGTAAGTGAAAAAGCATATGTGAAAGTTATATAATTCCTTCTGTATGATACATCCATAGAGACAGAAAGTATGCTGCCAAGAAAGGAGATGAGAAAAGAATGGAACATGAATACTAAAGGACACAAGGTGAATTTTAAGGGTGGTAAAAATAATTTTACTTAGAGAATAGTGACAGCTGAAAAACTGTGACTATACTACTAACAAATGAATTTAATGTACTTTAACGTGGTAAGTTCATTACATATATATAAAGTATATCCCAGTGAAAAACCAAGGAAACAAATCAACATGATAAAATTCAACATGGTAAAAATCACTATTGTTCTTCTAGAAACTTCATTCTGGGGGGTCAATCACAGTCATTATAGGAAATGTTAGTAAGCCCCAATTGTTTCTTAAATTTCTTAATGAAAACACGTATGAAGAAAGGTTCTGAAATTTTATTCCACATCCACTTCAATAATCTTAAGTATCTGGATGCCACATAGGCTACACAATTAGGCTTCATTTTGACAAAGATGGTATTTCATGGGCATTCCAAACAAGCATTACCCAACCTATCTATTAGGACTGTCTTGCCACCTATGTGATCCTTTTGCTACATTAGAAATACCCATCCTTCAATGGCTAGTCCTTGATCTTTCACAAACCACAAACCATGGGTTGGCAATGCTGGGCCTAATCTTCACTGTCTCCAGAGGACTCTGTGAACTTCACAGCTTCTGTGAGGGGTTCAGGACCCTCCAATAAAAGTGAACTGCTCCCATCTTTCCCTCCGTGGCCATTTGTCATTGTATGTTCTAAAATGTACACAGTATGTTATCTAGAGCTTCATTTCCCCACCAGCTTTCAAACACCATAGTAAATGCATGTAAGTCTTATTTGGATTAATTTTATAAAAATAAACAATGATGAAAAGGGACTGTTTTTTATTAATTTCATTAATCAATTTCACTAACCTTTGGTACCACATAATACATTTCATATTCCACTTAGCAGAAGTATATCAGCAAAATTTAGACAGTAATGCAATGAGCCAATAAGCCAACAAATGAAAGGTGCAATGGTATCTGTTCAGAGAGTGGAAAAATACTGTTTGCACATGAAAATGTTACAGATAAGAAAACAATGCCAACAAAATTAAGGCAAAAATATTTTAAAGAAGGAATATCAATTGAAAAAACTGCTGCCTACAAAGCCAAGTGCTATATTTCTTAGCCCTAAGTCACTCACTACTCTTAGTAAATGAAAAGGTACAGATTTTTGAAAATAGACTGATAGTAGTTTAAAATACATACCAATTATTATATTACATAAATATCTTATTATATCAATGGTTCAAAATTAAGTGAACATAAATCATTTTAATATGAACAACATGAAAAGGTGATATTTCTAATTCTTGGCTGTGTATTTTTAATAATTTTTACTCTAGACATTGTAGAGTTATTTTACAAGAATTGATTTCAGTAACTGCAAGAAGAGAGGAAGTTGCACTTTTATTGTTGATTAATAGTAAGGCCTGTTTCCTAATTACTATTTGCTGGCAAAGAGGTAAATATGCACATTGACCAAAGATTATACTCTGAAATTTTTCATGTTGTACCCTAAAATGTAGTTATCATTAACAGAAATACCACTCTTGAAAATAATTTGGTTTATAGTAAACATTTTGCTGAATATAAAATGAGTACATTTTAGTTCCTGATATTCATATTCACTCTTATGGGTATGTAATTGAGAACAAATGAAATAAATTTAACAAAAATGCCAATAATACACTGTGTAGGTGTCCATGCTCCAATTGGAAAAAAAAGTTCAATGTAATTGTTTCATATTCATTAAAAGTGTGAACACAAGATATGTATCTTCCCAAAATGGTAGAAAGATGAGTAAAACTGTATTTTTTGCCTATTTATTTTTGGTAAAGCTTGAGTATATTTCCTCACCTCAGCAAACATGGTCAAATATATTATTTATAATTTGTTCAGAAATATGTCCAATTATTTTCCAAAGACATATAATGATAAATGTCAATATCAAAAATGTCAAATTTCACTTAAAATATACCATATTTTAAATAGGATAAAAAGTCATAATGCATATAACTTAAATATATAATGAAATTACTAATAAATATGAATTACAAAAATATTATTACCTTAATTTGTTCTTTAATTGCTAAAGATCCATGTTCTCTCCCTCTGATTCATTGAATGAAACATTTCTGTAAAAATAAAAAAAGGTTCAATTAGATGAAGATAATATGTTTATTGTATAGTTATAGTTGAACCATTTTAATGTTTCTTATTAACAAGTCTATTTTTTCTCACAATGCTTGGGGTATCATCACAGACTAGGGTAAAAAGTGGAAATTCAGGAGATATGGAACACATACTCCTGCATCTAATTTACTGGGCCTGTAACAAATTTCTTAGGTACACACCTAAAACATTGTCCTAATTAAAAGAACACACAAGGTTTTAAAATAAATTCTGAGTTTGCCAAGAAATATTCTGGTTTCTTTAATAAGTTACTAGCTAAGATATCGTGATGCGTCTAATAATGATTTCTCTCCCTCCCTCCCTTCCTTCCTCCCTCCTCTGTCTTGACAGGTGGTCCTGGGGATTGAACCCGAGGCATGCACTAAGTAATTTTATCCTTAAGGCTGTTGGAAAGAAATTGAGAAAGAATTTAGTGCATCATGCTATACAACTGCACACACACACACTCACAAACAAATACCCATTCTCTCCATGTATTTATGTATACATACATGGAGATAGTGATTTAAAACATTCACATATTCAAATTTTAACAAATAGGAATACAAAACATGAATTTAATTAAATCATTAATTTACATGATCATCTTTAATATATCGTGATATTTGTTTTTTATTATTAAAGTAGTAATCAAAATGACGGACATTTTACAATACAAAGTATTTTCCTTCTACTCATTTTCTGTTTTTGGTACCAGGGATCGAACTCAGGTCCTTGCACTTGCGGGGCAGGTGGCGGAACCACTGAGCTAATCCCCGGCCCTCTATTTATTTTCTTCCAGATAATAATGTTTTCTAACCATTCTGCAACTAGTCACATCAGTTTCTGCACCTTTTAGTGAGTTTATGAGCTTTACACAGGCATCAGTTCTACTAATTATTGTAATATTTAGTATTCATTATGTTATTTCTTTATTAGTATTTGGCTATTAGTAGAATGTTAAGTAACTGTACACATGTCAAAACACTGACAAAATTCATTAGCTATCCTAGCATCTTGTCCCCAGATGGATAAGGAATTAGATATGGAGCAAAAAGTCAATAGTATAAAATTAAAATTGAGTTCTCCTTTATAAAATCACTATTGATTAAAGTCAGATACAGCATAATTTAACATGAGAACAAATTAGTGGAAACTTCACAATGACAGTAGTATATCATGAAGGCGGATTTTAAAATATTACATGATGAAGCTTGCTATAGTTTTGCTAGTAAGCATCCACCCATATTTCACCAGTCACTAGGAATTATACCACAAGAGAGATCTAAGTCCACATTTAAAAGTCACACCTGACTATTTGAATGGCAACTAAAAGCAACTTTATAATCAACTGGCTGAATTTCACTCAACAAGCATTCTTTCAAAAAACCAAATATGTTCTTTTGTTCCCATTTTTTGAAGTATGCACAAATCCCATTTGGAAAATGTTTTATATATTCAAACAATCATGGGCAAAGACAACACAAGCATTCCCAAACTTACCATCACCCTGTACATCTTTTTCTCAGGGAGTCCATTTTGACATCTAAGCATTTAAAAGTGTTCTCTGATACCACCAGACCCATTTCACCACACACAGTGCCAGTTGTGCTTTCTTGATGTTCCCAGACCTCCCTGAGTACTGTATCTTCCTATTTCGCTTAATTCTACAGTGTAATAAGACTTGCTTAAGAACAGGCATCATGACTTCCTCAGTTTGTATCATTTCTCCATAAAGAACCAAGCACCTGCCAGGTACTGTAGTGCATGCCTATTATCTGAGCACTCTGGGAGGCTAAGACAACCGGATGCCAAGCTGGAGCCCAGCCTGGACAACTGCGTGACTTATCAAGACCTCACCACAGAATAAAAAGGGCTTGGGATGTAGCTCAGAACAAAGGCCCTGAGTTCAATCCTCAGTACAAAACACAAAACAAAACACCTGCAAAAGCAAAAGCAAAACACACACAAGCAAGCAAGAGCCCCTCAAAAATGTAGACAGTGTAAACTAGATATTTACATTTTCATAAATTAAAAAGTTTATTTATTAGAAAATGTGTGTATTAGGCCCAGATAAATTGGGACTGAACAATAGAAGTGTATTATTACATGGGCCTTCGAATTCAGCCACATTAGCTACAGTTCTAGGTCTTGTTTTCCTTTCTTTTTCTAAGAACACAGAATCTTCAGTTTATAATTTGGTTGTTCAGTGTCTTGGGGTTTCACTAAATTACAACCACTTATGGCCCTGAAAAGTGGGCAGACAGCTCAGATCAAAAACAAGCTCACCTAGCGTCACTCAGCATCCTCAGCAGAAGGGCAGCTGTGAGGTAAAACACAGGAAAGAAGACAGGAAAAGTGAAGGGAATTAAAAAGTCCCGGGAGGACAAAGACATGTATCCCATCAAATGATGCTGTTCTATAAGGTAATAGGGCTAAATTTTCCATACTTAATTTAATTGATCTAAAAGTGATTTCTAAAAGTAACTACTATAAACATTAGTATGTAACTACTATAAACATTAGTATGCAACTACTTAGAAGGAAAGTACTCAAGGAGAACATAAAAATTTGATATGTTTTGGATGGAAATGCATGCATTCGAGTATCTACTCCAACAGTATTTTCATTACTTTACAGTTATACATGCTGCAAAAGTGACAGAAAGCCAATGCACTGAAATGTTCGTGAGGGGGCTTGTGAGCCAGATAGAAATACTCTATGTCTAGTACTGACTGCTTTTATAAAGAATTAAAAGTTAAATTAATTTTTAGAACAAAATTTGTAAAGCAATCATATATAAAAGATGTCAAAATGAAAAATAAGATTCAGTTCATAAATTAAAATTTATAAATAGGAATACCTGATAAATATGAATGTTCAAGTTAAATTTCCACATACTAAGATAGGCCAAAAAACACAATACGCCTATATACATATACATACATTTTATATATCTGTAAAATATATAATATTTTCATATGCAGTATGACATATATATTTATTAATAAAAATCTTACTATGTGGCAGATATTGTTTTAAACACACTATATTCTCACTTAAACTTTAAAAGTCCTCTGAGGTTTGTATGGCTATGAATCATGTTTACACATAATAGTTCTAAAACACTAAGTACTAAAGCTAGAATTTTACTACAAAATGTTGGGATACAGAATTTATACCCCAAAGCCTCTCCTATAGCATTACATGGACTACCATTTTTTACACATGTTGAGAGGATATTTGTAACCAAGAGAAAATCAGTTTCTTTAAATCAGTTGTTCAGAAAATAATTATTTCAAAATTTCATGACCTAGATCATTGTTGGAAGACACTGTCACAAATTTCAATGAAGTGCCAGGAAGACCCAATAAAAATTAGTTTGGAATTAAAATAAAAAGATAACTTCATTTTCTTAGTGAAAATGGAATTAATTCCAAAATTATGTGATCTCACCTTCTGAACAATGTAGCATAGTTTCATGAGGGAATGAAGAAATGACATGAACAAACATTTTTGTAAAGATCATGCCACTGTCAATTAAATGATTTGCAATGTAAGATGATGGAGCCTGAACCTGGCGCCTGGTATATACTAAACATGCTCTCTATCATTGAGCTGTATCTCCAAACCTGATATTTTTTAATAGGTCAGTGATTGCTGAAATTAAAAAAAAGCAACACAAGCAAGAGAAATATTTATAATGCACTATTTTTCATGTGTATGAGACAAAAACTTAGTCCTCAAGTCATTTTTACCTTTAGGTACACATATGGCCTTCATATCTATCATTTCAAATTGCTTAGTATTTAAATAGAACAATGAGACAAAGATATGAAAGCAGACACACTGACCATTGGTGGCATTCCCTGTCCCTGCCTTCACCTGGGTCTTCAAATGCTATGTCTCAAATGTCAGGATGTTCAACTGTTCTTTCCAAATGCCCCCTTCAATTCTCACTCTACTGTTCTGTTGGTCACCTTCCAATGCTTTCTGCTTTCTTTCCTTGTTGACAAGCACCATCACATGCCACCAAATTATTCTCCTTAGTGTTCAGATTTGTTTTCTTCATCCCTATTTTTAGTATCATAATTCTAAACCCTATGTAAAGTTGGCAGAGAAACAATTTCCTCCTATTTCATGGATAAGAAAACTGTAATTAATGAAAATTACCACATTTACCAAATTATGTTGTCAAGTTGAGACCAAGATGATTACTCCTTAATTCACCCACCCATCACCACTGACCACAATACCTTCTATGACCTCTCAAGTCTACCTTGCAGAATACTCCAGAAATTCATTTTTCTCATGATCATTTTCTGCTCAATAATCTACAAATGCACCATAGTGCTTTCCATAGAGACATGTTTTGAAGATATTCTAAGGATCATTACATTCTTTAGTTTTATAAGCACCTTTTGGACATCACTCTGTCAAATAAAATGCTGAGATCAGTCACCTTGAGTTCTAACTGGCTCCTCAGGCAACACTATTCTGTAGAAAGCAGCTTGTGAATGCAAACCCCTGTTCCCAGAGCACTTGCTCTCTCTGTATATGCATTCAAAGCTATAAGCTGTGCTGAAGTCTCATCTTCCCAAGTCTCACCTCTTTTTGTACAAATTCGTCTTGAAATTCTTGGTGCACTTTAAGTAGATAGTACAAACTTTCATTATAAATCCACTCATTCTTTCCACTTGTGCTAGCTTACTGACCCAAGACACCATAGTCCCCGTATTAAGGGTAATATTTGGCAGCTGATTTGTGAGAATAGCTATGTGAGTAGCCTGGCAAATATTCTCTCCAATACTAAGGGTAAAAATGGATGAAATTGACCAAAGAACTGTTTCATGACAATAGAAATAAACCAATCATATGACAAATTATAAACTATTCAAGAAAAACTAATGAACTCTGGTAAGAACAATGGAAGATCTATCCCATTATGCTTGACAATTCCCCC